CCCCCCCCGACTGCGATAGCGGCGAACACGGCAAAGCGTCACCTTAATCACATTCGTGGATCTCGGAGCCTCGGCGGATCTCCGCCACTCCCACCCCTGAACGTTGAATTAATGCTAGCGTACGTAGTGGGCAGAACGGGGAGAGGGGGGAGTGGAAGAGGACCTTACAAGCGTTATTTTTACGCTAGCAGCAGAACTGCGCTTGTTGCGTTGCTATCGTAAATCCACCTTAAAACTGGCAAATAAATTATAAGCGACATCATCATCTCGCCTCTTCGCTATATTTTTGTTTGATCATTCTCTCACAATCGAAGTGCTCTTTCAGTCTCACCCGCGCGGCCCGGCCTGTTTGTGTATTGGAGATGTTGTCGCCCGTCACCCACCCCCTAGAGGCCTTTGCCCTTATTGGGTCGGTTCCGCACTCGGAACAGCTCGCCGGCGGTGTCCATGCAGAACTGGACGTCCCCCCGCGGGTCGACGCAGTGTGAGCGCGCCCGCCACACGGGACCCTCCAGGCGGAGCGTGCTGCTCATGGCGTTGAGCAGGTCCATGGACAGCGTACCGTTGGTCAGCCTGTACGTGCCCTTCAGCAAACACCAATTTTTATTAACATTGAAAAATATGTTTTCGCCGCATCGATTGACCTCTGTAAAGGGGTTGTTTTGTTGACATCTCATTGTTGATCGATAAAACCAGCTGAAAACTGGGTCAAAAAAGGGCAAAATGGCATGACTAAAGTCACAGTAGAACTCTACTGACCGAAATTTCGTCTGTTAAGCTTTGTCCTTTTCCGCGCTTGAGGGGTTGTTTTTCCCCCGAATATCACGTTGACAGGGATTCGCTTTTTTACTCGACTCGGACAACAGGCCAGGTAGAATAGGGTGTTCCGGGCTATCTTAAACGTAAGAGGGGGAAAAAACTCACTGATCAATCAGTTCCCGCTGAGCCAGTATGAGACATTATCAAGGCGGGTTGGGCCGAATCTGACCTCTAAAATATGGAGTGGAGCTCGAAACTGTTCTGACAGTTTGTCATAGTTCCAAGGCCGTAAAGACACGCGATCGGCTCGTCCAATCAGAAACTATCACGGAAACAGCAAAATCAGTGAGTTTCTTCTTTTCCTACGTTCACTACAGGACACCCTACGTGAGATATCGCGAAGCCAGTTAGGGATCATACTCAAACCACGTGATGGGTTTTTGGCGGGTTTTGACCACCCATCTCCCCCCCTGTGGTGGTCTGTGGTGTTTTCGGGGATCTCCCCCCCTCCCCCTCCATTTTCACGTGATTTTCAGCATATGTGTTAATTGACGTATTTACAACTGTGTAGAGCATTTTAACAAAAAGTGCATGTTTGCTGATATTCAAAACTTAATTTAGTGGTGACTTTTCGATTAAACACCGTCAGATTTCGGTGATTTATCACGCAATAAACGGATTTGTGTTAGAATTTTTCAAAAACATGCTTATTTGAGCGGGATATTAATAATCACCTGACTTGGCCGGAAAAAACCCTCCCCCCTGATGGTGGTGAGTGGTGTTTTCACAGACGCCCCCCTCCCCTCCCCCAAAACCCGTCACGTGGTTTGGGTACGATCCCTTACGCGAGAAGTGGTTACACTTATACCTATGCGTAGTTTTTACCTTGTTGATGGGACAACCCATCTTGGGTGTCACGCTGTCGACGATCTTCGCCCAGGGCATGGCTCGGTTCATGAACATGCCGCAGAGGTCGCCAGACTCGAACACCCTGAAGGTCGTGCAAGTGTCGGCGGACACGGTCTGGTCGCACTTCTCGATGATCGAGTAGCCCTTGACCCACCTGTCAACCGACCGGCTGACGGTCATGTTCACGTTGAAGACGACGCTGGTGCGGCCGCGCATCTCGAAGGCCACGTCCAGCGATTTGAGGGCGTTGTCGAAGTCGCCGACGCACGGCTGGATGTGCACGGGCCGCAGCTCGAGGTGCGTGCTGTCGGTGAGCCTCCTGGCCGCGGACGCGCCGAGGACGAGCACCGCCAGCAGCGGCAGCAGCCCGCTGACCCGCGGCGTCGCCATTCTGCATGGTGCCCGGCGACTCTGGCCGGGTCCGGTGGCAGCCGTGCTTGGCGGACATGGATCGTAAAGCTGGTAATGACAGTTGACAGAGCTTAGCGTGCGCACCCCGCCCCTCCCCCTCCGGTGTGTCAGCCCGTCCACACCTTTCTCGCTGGGCCAGTATTTTTTTCCGGTGCCGTCAACACGCCACTCGCAGTCATTCCTTTGTTGCGTTCACCGATGGCGTTGGCGCGGTTTGCACCGGTGGTCTGGACCGGACTGGGTCACCTCTGGTGAAAAGCACTTGTCCCATTTTTGTTATAAATTTGGAACATTGAAGTTTGTTTATAGTACATGAATTATACATTTATTTTTTTGACGTTTTTCGGGGCTATCGAAATTTATGAAGCGGTACCAACTAGCTGATTCGGGCAGTTCATGCCCTATCACTGAGTAGCGCACTTTATTCAAATGTACACAATGTCCCCCCTCCCTCTCTCTTTCGTTATCTCTCTCTCTCTCTCTCTCCCAGGCAGTACCCTCCCTATGAGGTTACGATCTAGATTTTTTAAAGAAATAGCCTCGGGCTAAGAAATAGACAGTTCCCTCGACCAGGCCACAAAGCTCCTCCAGTTTTTCGTACTGCGCAAGTAGCTTCAGCAGTCCACGCCAATCCGCCGAATGGCGCAGCCCTTCTTTCTCCTACCATCCTACCACCCAGGGCGGAGGGGAGGGGGATGAAGTGGCGGCCGGTCCGCCGCCTGCACAAACCGAGGGGGCCACCACTCTCTCTTTGGATGTAAACATGATAGCAAAGATTGCGTGATTTCACATGATTTCACGGATTTCGCATATTATTTAAGAAGATTTCACGCTAAAACCTGCCGGCAGATTATGTCTGATTTGAAGGATTACAGATGATTTCAGCTGATTTTACCGGATTTCGGCGGATGTCACACAAGATTCCGGCGGATTTTACGTGATTCCGGCGGTTTTTACATGACCTGCTTAGGATTTCAGACTAAAATTTGCTGGCAGATTACACATGATTTCATGATTGCAGGTGGATTTCAAATGATTTCGGGAGGATTTCAGGGAGGGCGTACACATGATTTCAGGAGTGGCGGCCCCCTCGGCACAAACCCGGTCTCTTTGCCCTCTGGTAGAGACAGTCTGCTTGGCACACTTTTGTCAACGATCGTAGCACTCCTCTCCTGCCGCACTCGCAACCTGTGCTCTCGGGGAGCTCTCCCCGTCATCCGGAAGAGCTCTTGGGCCGGTCCCGCACTCGAAAGAACTCGCCGGCACCGTCGACGCACAGGTGGGTGGCTCCCCGCGCGTCCAGGCAGTTAGATTGAAAACGCCACAAGGGGCCCTCTAGACGCAGCGTCCCGCGCATGGCGTTGAGCAGGTCCATGGACACCGTGCCGTTGCTCAGGGTGTACCTGCCCTTCGCCGCGCATAGGGGTCACCCGAGGTTTGAGTATCTGTGTCGTCCAATGTAACGTCCTCCAACAAAGTTTCCCATCATGCTTGATTTACCTTGTCGACGGGGCACCTTAGCTTGGGCTGCACGTCGGCGACGACCCTGGCCCAGGGCATGGAGGGGTTCATCATCATGCCGCAGGGGTCGGAGAAGTCGATGGTCCGGAAGGGGGTGCACGAGGTCGAGGACACGGCCTGGTCGCGGTCGCACTGCTCGATCGTCATCCGAATCTTGGACCACTTTTCCGTCGAGCGGTTCATGGTCGTGTTAAACGCGATGACGACGGTGGTGCGGCCGAGAAACTCGAAGCCCATGTGCACGGCGTCCAGCGCATTGCCCCGCACGTCCGGGCACGGCCGGAGGAACTTGGGCCGCAGCTCGAGGTGCGTGCCCCCGAACGCATTCTTGGCCGCGG